GAGTGCCCCTGCCAGGCTCCATGTGACCTCCTTGGCTTCTGCTTGTAATGAATTAAATATATAAGTCAGATTCCTAGATTAGGCCAGAGATCTGCCATCGTTTGAACAATCATGGGGGAAAAGCCCTCACTTATAACTTTGCTGAAAATGTGCTAATTCTAGTCCTCCAACAGCCCATAACCTCAAAAGCCTCCAGGGGTCAGTAAACTTGACCAGATAGGGAGGGTGGCAAACAGACTAAAGGGACACACTCTGTGTGAAGGGGAAGCCATCACTCACTCTGGCCCTGGCAACCGTGCAGAAATGCAGGGTTCATGTGGCCAACATTTCTAATTTTCCAATAGAAGTCAGAAATTTATATTTTATGTAAAATCTTCTGATTTATAAATGTGGGCAACTAATTCGAACAATTTTAAAAGCATCTAGGTGCATAAATCTCTTTCTAAGCCCAGAAGGGAAAGTAGACTATACCAAGTTCAATACCTTTCTTTGTTACAGTTGGGGAAGGTAAACCACAAAATGGACACATGATTTTCCTATGGCCATGTAACTAGTTTGGCAGCAGAGCCAGACCCAGAAAGAATACTCCTTGCTCTCTCCTGCATCACTTCTCATTCCACAAACGAGAAGAGCCTGTAGGTCTGTTTAGGTCTGGCTTAAAATGCACCCAGAACAGTATCGATTTACTGTTGTGCTTTACTCTCTCAGGCTTCTGGATCATGTGCATGAGGCAGGGTACTATCATGAAGCAGTGGAGTAGCATTAGGGCAGAACATTTTTGTGCCAAATTGATTTTTCCCTCACCTGGAGCAATACCACAGCTACGTGGCTCTGCTCCATGAAAGGAGGGGCTAGGCTGTTCCCATTGGGGAAGGGGATTGGTACGGTCATCAGTCCAACACAAGCAAGGCTCACTCAGCAGGAGAAGATTAAGCACAAAACTTACATTCACATAACACTCCCATTAGCCTCAGTGGGAGCTGTGCTTGCAGAAGTTGCAGAGTCAGCAGTCGAATTGAGACTGGAATGAGGCAGTAAAGCTCAAGTCATAGGTTATTATTAGGATTGTACAATCCCAGCCCCATATTTGCAAAAGAGTTCATTTTTATTATCTAGTGAGATCTCCCTCTACTGACTCTTCCAGCAGGGTCTTCAAAAGGACCCTTGTTTAGACCTCAATTGTGCTGTGTGTGCAGTTGAAGAAACTTGGCAAATCTCAGAAGTTAGGACAGGTGCCAACAAAGTTTAGAAAATAGGCTTAGCTGTTTGGGTCCTGCTGGTTCACAGGGTTCAGCATATTTGATCATTAGTGATCTGGGCCTAGGACAGTGCCAGGTGGCACACAGTAGGTACTTAATAATAGTTGGTGAATAAATGAAAGACTGGATGGATAGCTTCACATTCCTTGCCAGGCTCATGTAGCAGGCCTCTCAACTTAGTAAGGCAGAATGAATCACTGCTTTGCTGCTTCCTAGGAGCCATCCAAGGAAAGGCCAAGAATCAATAAGAGAAGCAGGCTCTGCTGCTGTCTTGGCACAGAGCCATACCCTTTCCAGCCCTGTGTAGCTGGAGATGGATTGGGGGTGGGATCCTGCTTAAGCTGCCGCTGGGCTCCCTCCAGTAGGTAAGCTGAAAAGCCTCTGCAGGCTTACCTGATTTTTTTTGAAATAAATATTTGCTTATTTATTTTAGAGATAGAAAGAGAGCATAAGAGGGGGCAGAGCAGAGGGAGAGAGAGAATCCAGAAGTAGACTCCTTGGCTGAGTGAGCATTGGGCCTGACCCAGGGCTCCATCCCAGGACCCTGAGATCATGACCTGAGTCAAAATCAAGAGCCAACCACCCAACCGACTGAGCCAGCCAGGCGCCCCACCATAAGTCCATTATCTTTTAAAAAGTGTTTGTAGCTACAGAAGAATTAAGCACCTGTTTCTGTGGCTCTGCTGTCATGAAGTGTAATGTTAAAATGTAGGAAATGATTGCCAAAGGTTAACAAGTAACCTAGGTGGTAGGTAAATAGGCAGTCCCTACAATGTTTTAAACTTTTCTGCACATTTGAAAATGGTTGTGGGCAGCCCTGGTGGCTCAGCGGTTTAGCGCCGCCTTCGGCCCGGGGTGTTATCCTGGAGTCCCAGGGGGATCAAGTACTGCCTTGGGTTCCCTGCATGGAGCCTGTTTCTCCCTCTGCCTGTGTCTCTGCCTCTCTCTCTCTCTCCACCTCTGTGTGTGTGTCTGTCATGAATTTAAAAAAAAAAAAAATCTTAAAAAAAAAAACTGGTTGTAGGGATCACTGGGTGGCGCAGCGGTTTGGCGCCTGCCTTTGGCCCAGGGCGCGATCCTGGAGACCCGGGATCGAATCCCACATCGGGCTCCCGGTGCATGGAGCCTGCTTCTCCCTCTGCTATGTCTCTGCCTCTCTCTCTCTCACTGTGTGCCTATCATAAATAAATAAAATAAAATAAAATAAAATAAATAAAATAAAATAAAAATTAAAAAAAAAAAAACTGGTTGTAATACAATGTTGGGGGGAAAGCTGCCTGATGTCAAAGAGCTACAGGCAGCTTCCTAAACCATGCTGACAGCAAAAGAAGCATTGGTCTTCAGCTGTCCTGATGTCACATGCTGGTAGCAACCAGAAAGATCTAAACTAATAACAATTTAAACCATGTGTCACCTGCCCTTTCAAAGAACTCCATGCAGATGAGTAAATTAAGGCACAGAGATGTTAAATAATTTTCTCAAGGCCAAAATGCCAAGTGGAAAAGAACTATCAAGTTTGGCATCAGCCGGGGAATCCCTGGGTGGCTCAGCGGTTCAGCGTCTGCCTTTGGCCCAGGGCGCGATTCTGGAGTCCCGGGATGGAGTCCCGCATCAGGCTCCCAGCATGGAGCCTGCTTCTCCATCCTCCTGTGTCTCTGCCTCTCTCTCTCTCTCTGTCTGTCATAAATAAATAAATAAATAAATAAATAAATAAATAAATAAATAAATAAATAAATCTTAAAAAAAAATTTGGCATCAGCCTTCTGCTCATCATTCAACACAGCCTCTCTCATTTAAAGGAAAGGTAACCTCTGTGATAAGGGACGTACATTCCTAGTTGTCTATCTCACCTATTTTGAATATTTAAATAATCATGTATGGCATTTTTCTGGACAAAACACATCTACTTCATTTTATATTAATAGATATTTTGTCTAGATTCTAGACCAAATACAATTCTTACGATGTATATTTTTGTTGGAAAATAATATATAAAGTATGTTATCCTTTGGAAAAACACAACATGAATATCTACATTCCAGTTTAAACTCATCCCTCAACATCTTTTGGGGGAACTGAGAATTCAGAATGACAAATGATTGCCTAAAACCTCCTCCCTCTAAATTTAGAAAAGCCTAATAAACCAAATAACCAGAACTCTTTCTTTCTATCCTTTCCCCTCTGGCAGGCCCACCTTCTGCTCATGGATGGTGAAATATGCTTAATCCCACCTGTCCTACCTATACCATTCTAACTAATGCTGTCACTGAAATAGGTTATCCCTGGGTAGCTAATGAACTCTAGAACCACCAAAGCACTGTTTAGAATCAAGGTCACAGAGATGAATAGAACTTAAAAGATACCACTCAGTCCTCTCCTTAGACTGTAGTAGTAAGTCAGGTCCTATGGATGAACCCAGTCAGAAATCTGAGAATTTCTCCATTTTTAACAGCTTTATTAAAAGAGGACTTTGGACTATAGAATCCATTCCAGCATTCTATGAGGCATTACAATGTTTTATAAATGTTCTCATACCCCTAATAAAATATCTCTTGGGTCATGTCAGCTCCCCCTCTTGTTTTTTTGCACTGAGGTCAGAGCAATTGGTTGGGATTTTTCTCATTAAAACTCTTCATCACTTGAAGGCTGTTATTAAAGAACTGATCAGCTCCTGATGACAAGGACCATGACTTATATAAACTTACACCTTTCTATGTCCCCCTGACAAAGCCTTCAAATGTAATTGGACTTCAGTGAAATAATGTTCTCATTTCAAATGATAACATCATCCTGAAACATTCCTCAATCTCATTCTTTAACCATGGAAGCTAGAACTAAATCTAATACTTCCCTAAAAGTTTAAGCAGGACACATTATAAAGGAAAAGAAAAGGGGTAGCCCCAATAGTTCAGCGGTTTCGCACCACCTTCAGCCGAGGGCCTGATCCTGGAGACCTGGGATCAAGTCCCATGTCGGGCTCCCTGCATGGAGCCTGCTTCTCCCTCTGCCTGTGTCTCTGCCTCTGTGTGTGTGTGTGTGTCTCATGAATAAGTAAATAAAATCCTTAAAAAAAAAATAAAATAAAGGAAAAGAAAACCCACCGTGTTTACCTCTTCTACCCCTCTTTAAAAATTAATCATTCTTTTCCTCCTGGGTGTTGTTCTGTATGTTGGTAAATTGAACACCAATAAAAAATAAATGTATTATTAAAAAAAAACAAAAAGAAAAAGAAAAAAAATTAATCACTCTTTTCCTGATCAGATTTGGATTTACTACAGAGAATCACTATGTTGTCATTCTTTATGATCCAATGAGGTCAAAGAGATTCATTATTCACTTGTTTTCTTCATTCAATTGCAAAAAAAAAAAAAAAAAGTGTTTGATTTAGACCAGTTACCTTGATAGCGCTCCTACCAAATATGATTTGGCAATTTTTTGGGCATGATTAGCATAATTTCAGTAGGAGCTTTGTTTTATGAACAAACATGGTGAAAGTCCAAAAGGTGCTATGCAGGTCAAAAGGAGGATGTTTTTCCTGAAACCCTCTGCCAACTGTCATTCTCTTTGGCCAAGCCTGAAGACGGCCTCCCAGTTCCACAGCTGACCACTAAGTGGCACCAGAACTTTGAATTAGCAAAGAGAGAGAAAAACCTACTTAACCAGCCTTTAGGTCATTTGCTATGAACCTTCAATTAAAATCTTCTAAAAATAATTATTTTTTATCAATGATCTACAATATAGTGACTTTTCACTATGTATTCTTTATTATGGTCTGTGCTATGGGAGAGAGTAGATTTAAAAGACATATGTAAGTCCTTAGCCTTCTGCCCCTTCCAGTCAGCTGTAAGTTATGCCACAGCAGCCTCCAGCAACATCAGGGGAACATCTGGACTTCATACTGTCAGACTGTCCTGCAAGCGTGAATGGATCTGTGATGATACCCTGTCAAAAAGCAAACCAAAATGAAAGGACAAATTAAAGGTGTTTTGATGTACCCCAACACTCATATTTCAGTTTGACTGAGGTTGGCTTACCTGGAAGGTAGATAAAATGTTATAATTCCATGGAATCTTTGGGAGTCAGCTATCAAGGTGGCTGTCTCGCCCTGAAACTTCTAATTAAGTTTTTACTACATTTTTTAAAAGATTTTGTTTATTCATGAGAGACACAGAGAGAGAAGCAGAGACATAGGCAGAGGGAGAAGTGGGTTCCCTGTGGGGAGCCCGATGTGGGACTCGATCCCAAGACCCGGGAATCACGACCTGAGCCAAAGGCAAATGCTCAACCACTGAGCCACCCAGGTCCCCGCCCCCGCCCCATGTTTTTACTACTTTCAAGGTAAAATTCATTTAAAGCTTCTTAAAGGTGGTGCCTAGGGGAAAGTTTATTTGGTTACATTTTGTTTTATGGGAGTCCTATGTGTACATGCTCTTTACCCTTCTGGCACTGAATACCAAAATGTTGAATGCTAAATACCAAATCTTTCCTTCCCTTATTCTCATCTCCAGAAATATGTATACAAGACAAGAAGGCAAGTCCTAGATACCAGGGCCATCGTTAGCAATTGTTGATGTTCAGATGTTGAGATTGCCAACAATGGCCAGCAAGCTCTCAGGGAGAGTGACTGGAATTTTCAGAAGACAAGATGGCAGACTTTATTTTTCCTCCTTTCACCTCCAAATGAGATATTCCAACAGCAACACCAAGGGGGCCAGAGACCAACCAGGCACAAAACAAAGGCAGCAAATCAAAAGCATGGACAAGCCACCTCAAATAATGATGAATTCATTAAACATAAATGTACTCTCTTACACTTGATCGTTGGTCACTGCAAATAGAAGGTAGGACAAGACAGGCATGGGCCCTACATTCATAAAGGACAGTCTAGGGCAGCCTGGGTGGCTCAGCAGTTTGGTGCCGCCTTCAGCCTAGGGCCTGATCCTGGATACCCCGGATCGAGTCCCACATTGGGCTCCCTGCATGGAGCCTGCTTCTCCCTCTGCCTGTGTCTCTGCCTCTCTCTTTCTCTCTGTCTGTCTCTCATTAATAAATAAATAAAATCTTAAAAAAAAAAAAAAGGACAGTCTATGGACGACTCCCTTTAGTGAAGGAACCTCCCTGGCCCTCAGTTTTCACCTTTCTAGAATGAAGACGCCTGCCTGGGTCTGGGTTCCCAGAACAGGTAAGCTAGCATCCAGCAGGGGATCTCCACGCCTGGTAGAGGCCTAGCTATGCTTGTTGCTGCTGCCATGCCCTCCTGTTCATTCTTTCCTCTTCTCGCTACATTGGAATTTCTGGTCAGAAGAGTTAGCCTCTCCTCCTTTTCACCCAGGAAAATGATTTTCCGCTCTTCTTGCCATCCCAGGTTCTCTCTATGAACAGGAGATAGTGACATCAGTATTTCTTTCTAATGTACACTCTCAGTTCTAAAAGATCCCAAGACTTAAAGGGAATAAAGGTGAGATACTTTGATAAACTGTACTTTCCAGCACCAACATCCTGTGATTCTGTGAAAAGTCTAGATACAGAGAGGCAGGACAGCATACTAGGTAAGACTATCAGCTCTAAAATCCAACATGAGTTCAAATTCACTGCTTTCTAGCTGTGTGACCTTGGATTAGTACATTAATCTCTCTGAGTCTTAGATTCTTCATCTGTGAAATGAGGATGATAAAGGGTTATTGTGAGGACGAAATGACTGAACATCTTACCTGTTCAGTAAAGGCTGGTCCTCTATATTATTCCTAGTGTTGCTCACCTTGTTATTACCACCACTATGAACTGCAGCAAGACAGTGTGTACCACAATCCTGGTACTGCAGTGTTTTACTAATGTAATCCTTTGTTGTTATTGTTATTGTTGGCTACGTGCCCAGTGTGGAGCCCAATATGGAGCCTGAACTCACAACCCTGAGATAAAGACCTGAGCTGAGATAAAGAGTCCCATGCTCAACTGACTGAGCCACCCAGGTGCCCCTAATGTAATTACTTTAATAGCAAGATACACTTTCCTTGTCAAGATTAAAAGAGAAGAAGGAAGAGGATGAAGAAGAGGAGAAGAGGAGAAGAGGAGGAGGAGGGGAAGTGGGAAGAGGAGGAGAAAAGGCAGGAGGAAGAGGACAAAAGAAAGAAAAGAAGGGCTCCAGAAAGCAGTCATCACTGAGACAAACCACAGTAAGCAGCATTCTTCTGTGGTTGCAGCTGTCAGAAAGACGCAAGTGCCAGCAACCCCCACATGCTGCCTGCCTGTACTGTGCTCTAGGTCTTTATCGGAAAGGTCTTCCATAAAAAAGATATGAATGTCCTCCTCCAACTACACAAGGTTATATTTCTAGGACACGCAGCTGTCTCATTCTTTAAATCTTCCTTCACTGTCAATGATTGCCTTTTCAAAACCTTGGAACTGATCTAAAGACATTGGCACATCAGCAGGCCGAAAGAAATAAGGCAGATGAGAGAGGAGACAGTTGGGATAAACTAGTTCAAGTACATGGCACATTACCATTGGTATCTGAGGTCAAGAGTTCTCCTGTGTGCCCCCAGTGCACACTAAGAGAGAGGTCAAGGAGAGGCAGGCTGGAAGAACAGGGTCTTTGCAGAAGCCAGCCCGATTAATGGTTTTTGGTTTTTTTTTCAGCCAGAGTACACTGGAAGTGTTGTGGTTGGAGGAAACACTCCCTTTACTTGTAACAGTAATCTGCTGCCTGCTTTTCTAATGAGGATTCAGGAAACTAGGTTCCAGGAGAATTCGAATGGTGAAAACATTTCAAAATACACATTGATTCTCCCCAGCAAGGTTTTGTTATCAGTGAACTTACCAGAGTTTCAAAATACCAATAACACATTTGTGAAAGGTTTAATAGACTGAAAGTCCAAAGTCAAATTTCTCTACTTTCCAAAAAGGCATCTTCTTGGAAAAAAACAGAAAAGAAACAAAACAGAATGCTCAAGAATTTCATAAAGCAAAACCTGTCAATCACTCTTCAGCTCTAGAGGTGGCTTCTATACTTAGCTTGGGCTTGATTCATGCTAGTAATGGTGGCCAAATAAGAATACATTCAGGTTTTTGGCTCCAGAATTCCTGTCTCTTGGGAATTAAATTTTCCCAGCTACAACTTTACAGTTTTGGAGAGTGATCTCTAAATAAACTTTACTCTTAAAGACTGCTTATAATGTAACAGATGGAGGAGAAAAAGGCATAACAGTTACTTGTGTATCAATGTATGCTCAATGTATCCAAAGTTACTATAAAACCCAAGCAAGAGAAAGCAAAAATTCATGGCAAAAGATTAGAAAACCTCTGAGCCCAGGAGAAAGGGTGTGTGGGAGAATGATAAATCCTAGAACACAGTTCCAAGTGACCAAGGATCTTAGTACAAATCCACAACTGTAACTACTTCTATTTCTTGAGTTTGCATTATGTGCCAGGCATCAGGCTAACATCAGGCATACATCATTTCCACTAATCCTCACAACCTGAGGGAAAAAGTGATTATCACCCTCCTGTTACACATGGGGAGACAGAGGGTGCAGGGAGGTTAGGTAAGGTACCCAAGATCACACATGCCTGATAGAGCCAAGATCTAAACCTAGTCTATCTGATTGCAAGGCCTGTGTACTTAAACCCCATGCTCTGCCACTATCCTGCCGTGGCAGCATCAGTGTCTTCTTTCCTGGGGCTTCCAAAATTCAGTGCCTGGAGACACAATATTGTTATGACTTTGGTGAATGCTGAGAGTTGTCAGCCAAAAGAAACTTGAAACCCATCACTAAGCCTCTTCTAAATACAATATTATAAATTAACGAATGGATCAATAAAACAATTGTGATAGCATGAATACGGTGAAATGATTAAATATATAAGAGAGAAAGGCAAAGAAACAATTATACTGTCTAGTATAATTACCTATCTGCCTTCTTCATAGGGTAGTTGTGGAGATGACATGAGATAAATCGCAATAAAATGCTTTAAAAAATACTATACCAATATTTCAGATACTAGAATAATTTCAAAAATGAAACCAAAATATTTTAGAAAATGATCATTTTTGAATATAGTGGTATCCTGGCTCAGATATACATTCAGGAAATTAAGATATGATAAAAATCAGCTTTTCAAAATAGTGGAGAATTGATTTAATAAATGAAGAGGAAAATTTGAACTAGTTAATATTTGGAGAAATAGTCACACTGTACCTCAACATTTATGCTGAAATAAATTCCAGATGGTTAAAAAATTTTAATGTGAAAAGCAAAGCCTTGAAAGTGCTAGAAGAATCTGCATGACCTTGGATTAAGCAATGGATTCTTAGCTATAACACCCAAAAGCACAAGCAAACAAAAAAGAAAAATGCAACTTCACCAAAATTAAAAACTTTTGTGCATCAAAGGACACTTCCCAGAGAGTGAAAAGACAACACACAGGGCACCTGGGTGGCTCAGTGGTTGAGTGTCTCTTTGCCTTTGGCTCAGGTCATGATCCCGGAGTCCTGGGATCGAGTCCCAGGTCAGGCTCCCCAGAGGGAGCCTGCTTCTCCCTCTGCCTATGTCTCTGCCTCTCTCTCTGTGTCTCTCATGAATAAATAAATAAAATCTTTTAAAAATAAAAATAATTTAAAAAAAAGAAAAGACAACACACAGAATGTGAGAAAGTTTTGGCAGTCATATATCTCATAAGAGTCTAGTATCCAGAATATATAAAGAACTCTCACAGCTCAACAATACAAAGACAACCCAATTAAAACATGGGCAAAGGAGTCTGGGTGGCTCAGTCAGATAAGTGTGTCCAACTCTTGATTTTGGCCCCGGTCATGATCTCAAGGTTTTAAGATCGAGTTCTGTGTCAGGCTCTGTGCTAGGCATGGAGCTTCCTTAAGGTTCTCTCTGTTTCCCTGTCTCTCTGCTCCTCCTCCCTCCCTCTCCCTCTATCTAAAAAAAAAAAAAAAAAAAAAAAAAAATGGGTAAAGAATTTGAATAGACATTTCCCCAAAGAAAATATACAGATGGTCAACAAACATGTGAGAAGATGGTTAACATCACTAGTCACTGGGGAAATGCAAATCCAAACTACAATGGAGGCACTACTTCGCACTGACTAGGATGGCTGCAATCAAAACTAAAAAGAAAATAAAGTGTTGGCAAAGATGTAGAGAAACTGGAAACCTATACACTGCTGGTAGGAACTTAAAATGGTGCAGCCACTATGGAAAACAGTTTGGTTAGTCTTCAAAAAGTTAGATGTAGAATTAACATATGACCCAACCATCCACTACTAGATATAGACCCCAAAGAATTGAAAACAAGTACTCAAACAAGTACATGATTTACATGTACAGGTATGTTCACAGTAATACTACTCGCAAGAGCCAAGAGTAGAAAGAACCGAGCTGCCTGGGTGGCTCAACGGTTTAGCACTGCCTTTAGCCCACGGTGTGATCCTGGAGTCCCGGAATTGAGTCCTACATCGGGCTCCCTGCATGGAGCCCTCTGCCTGTGTCTCTGCCTCTCATGAATAAATAAATAAAATCTTAAAAAAAAAAAGAGAGAGTAGAAAGAACCTAATTATCTATCAACTGATGAATGAATAAACAAATGTGGTATATCCATGCAATGGAATATTATTCAGACATGAAAATGAAGTACTGATACATGGATAAACCTTGAAAACGTTATGTTAGGTAAAAGGATCCAGACACAAAAGGCCATATAGTGTATGATTCCACTTATATAAAATATCCACAATAGTGGATATTATAATCCAGAGACAGAAAACTGATTATTGCCAGCTTCTCCCAGGGGGAGAAGAGATAGCAGAAAGACTGCTTAATGGATATGGGATTTCTATTTGGGGCAACAAAAGTTTTCTGGAACTAGATAGTACAACTTTGTAAATGTACTAAAAGTTACTAAATTGTACATGTGATTAAAAATGTGAATTTTATGTTATATGAATTTTATCTCAAAATGTCTGAAGTACTAAAAGAAAATATAGGTGGGGCACCTGGCTGGCTCAGTCAGTGGAGCATGTAACTCTTGATCTTGAGGTTGTGAGTTCAAGCCCCAGGTTGTGTGTACAGATTACCTAAAAATAAAACCTATTAATAAAATTAAAAGAAGGGAATCTCTGAGTGGCTCAGTGGTTTAGGGCCTGCCTTTGGCCCAGGGCGCGATTTGGAGTCCTGGGATTGACTCCTGCATCAGGCTTCCTGCATGGAGCCTGCTTCTCCCTCTGCCTGTGTCTCTACCTCTCGCTCTCTCTGTGTCTCTCCTGAATAAATAAATAAAATAAAAAGAATTAAAAGAAAATATAGGTAAATTCATAACGTTCACACAGAGCAAGACTTTCTAATCATAACATAAGAGGCAGAAACCATGAAGGAAATGACTACATAAAAATTGAAAATGTGTATTCAGGAAAAATAAGCAAATAAAAAGATGACATGCTAAGAAAAAATATTCACAATATATAATAGACAATTTTTTATAGAATAATTTAAAAAGGCAAATACCACTCTAAGAGCAGATGGTTAAAGGAATTATATAGGAAGTTCAAAATGGATGAAAACATAACTGGCCAACAAATATACCAAAAGATTCAATATATGCAAAATAAAACAACACATTATAGTTTCTGCCCATTAGACAAAAAAAGGTTTTATTTTTTTAAAGATTTTATTATTTATTTATTTATTTATTAATGGGAGACACAAAAACAGAGGGAGAGACACAGGCAGAGGGAGAAGCAGACTCCCCAAGAGGAGCCCAGTGTGGAACTTGAACCCAGAACCCAGAGATCAAACCCTGAGCCAAACGTAGACACTCAACCACTGAGCCACCCAGGCGTCCCAAGAAAAATTTTTAAAAAATAATAACCAATATTAGTAAGAGAGCAGGGAAAAGGTATTATCATATATTGCAAGTAGGCATGTAGATTGGTACAGTCTTTCTGTAGCACAATTCAATTATCTTAATTTAGACTTACAATTATTTAAGGGGCACCTGAGTGGCTCAGTCAGTTAAGCATCTGCCTTCAGCTCAGATCATGGTCCTTGGGGTCCTAGGACTGAGTCCCCGTGTCAGGCTCCCTGCTCAGCAGGGACTCTGCTTCTCCCTCTCCCTCTGCCCCTCCTCCTGCTTGTGCTATCTCTCCTTCTCTCTCTCAAATAAATAAATAAAATATTTTTAAAAATTATTTTCAAAAAAACTTACAAATATTTGAATAAATTTTTCCAAGGTAGCTCTTAACCTTTTTTGTATCTGGACTCCTTTAAGAATCTAATGAAAGTGGGCACCTGGGTGGCTCAGTGGTTGAGCATCAGTCTTCACCTCAGGTTATGATCCGGGGAACCTGGGATCAAGTCCTGCATCAGGCTCCCCGCAGGAAGCTTGCTTCTCCCTCTGCCTGTGCCTCTGCCTTTCTCTGTGTCTCTCATGAATAAATAAATGAAATCTTAACAGAAAAAAGAATCTTATGAAAGTAATAGACACTCTCTTGAGAAAATACATACACACACATATAATTTTAAGGGGTTCATGGATGCCCTGAAGTCCATTCATAGGTGCACCAAGTTAAGAGTCCCTGGCTTACTGTCCAGATTGGAAAAATAAAGTTATGAAATTAATTCAAGTTATTTTATAGACATAAATATACTAGAAATTATCAATAGTGGCCAACTAAAGGAAAAATGATTTGTTTCTTGCTTTAGCAGTCTGTGGCAAGGTATGGGATGAAAGCCAAACAAACCTTTGATTCTAAAGCAGAACAGCCACTACATGTTGGCAGCGTCTCTCCAATTGGTCTGATCAGAAAATCTTGGGCAAATCGTGAATTTTTCAAGATAGCTGCTGTTTCTTTATCCACTTCAATGATTTCACCTTCCTGAAGGGTAGTAGGAAAAAAACACATATTAAGAAATGCCACTTTAGGGACACCTGGGTGAATCAATCAGTTAAGCCTCTTTGCCTTTGGCTCAGGTCATGATCTCAGGGTCTTGGGATGGAGCACCCACCTGAGGGCTCCCTGCTCAGTGGGGAGCCTGCTTCTCCCTCTTCCTTTGCCTCTTTCTTCCCTGGCTTGTATACTGTCTCTGTCTCTGTCTCTCTCTCTCTCTCTCTCAAATAAATAAATCTTTAAAAAAAGAAAGAAATGCCACTTGAATCTCAATAAAAGAAAAACATGCAAAGGTTTTACTAAGGAATGACATTTCAGGATAAAAGACTATACCTGGGGATCCCTGGGTGGCTCAGCAGTTTAGCACCTGCCTTCAGCCCAGGGAGTGGTCCTGGAGTCCCAGGATCAAGTCCCATCAGGCTCCCTGTATGGAGCCTGCTTCTCCCTCTCCCTGTGTCTCTACCTCCTCTCTCTCTCTCTCTCTCTCTCTCTCTCTCTCTCTCTCTCATGAATAAATAAAATCTAAAAAAAAAAAAAGACTATACCTTCTGACACAATATTTTCTTATATTCAGATCTTGCTGCTATTTCATGCTTATTACAAAATGGAATTGACCAGTGTCATAATCAGTTTTTCTTTGGTAGCAAAGAAAAAAGAAAAAAAAGGGGGGAGGGAATACTCATTGCTCCTGTATTCCATTTCTCCTCAGAGACAGATGTAGAAAACCATTGTTATCTGGGTTTCACTTTATTCGTCATTAAAATGAGGTTTTAAATTAAAGTCATCATTTCTAAATAAATAAATAAATAAATAAAGTAATCATTTCTAATGTGTATTCTGGTGAGTCTCAGGGTGCCTGAGGGGTTATAAAGGGCCCATGCCTTGGGAACCAGGAGTGAGCACAGGAGATTCTGGGCTATCTAATCCCTGTTCCCTTTAGATGAGCTCTGCTTTCATCCCTTCATATATATACTGGAGTTATGTAAAGCAATGTATGACACAGGGTAAGTATTGGTTTCTTAAATAAAATTTTGCTTTAAAAAAGAATCTACTATTAAAAATAGGGTGGTTTTTTTTTTTTTTTTTTTTTTTTTTTTTTTTTTTTTTTTTGAGAGCCAGTGTATCGGAGCAATGAGTTCAAAGGCCCTTCTCACTTTGATTCTGTGACTCTACAGAAGCAGGCAGGACACCAAGGGGCAGTGCATCAGTGAAAAAGCATTAACAACTCCACTGCACCAAGGGGTAGTTAAGAAACTTGAAGATGCTATTTGAACCCAAAAAATCAGGGGTGGAAAACAGTAAATCCTACTACCTTTGGAACAAATCATGACTGCATCTTCTATTTACTGAGGTCCCAGTATGTACCAATGTTCTGCTATATTATTGCTAATCTTTATTAAGATTTTATTTTTTAAGTAATATCTACACCCAATGTGGGGCTCAAACTTACAACCCTGAGATGTAGAGTCACATGCTCTACTGACTGAGCAAGCCAAGTACCCCTGTGTTATTCCTAATCTTATAGAAATTCTACACAGTAAGTGTTATCACCCCTACTCTTGCAGTAGAGCAAACTATATCTCAAAGAAGGACTTATTCAAGTTTACCCGAGAAATAATAGAGCCAGAATTTGAACCCAGGTATCTGATTCCAAAGGCTGTACTTTTCCATTTTGAGAAAATAAAGCCTGATCTGCAAAGAGTAGTAGAAATAGCACTGTGTTGTCATTAAACACTAACAGCTCCTTAATTCTATGATACAAGTGAACCACTGAAATACTGTTGCACAATACTTCTTTTCTTTTCCATCCTGCTTTTCTGTAATTCCACTAATCTGATGTCCGAAGGATGCTTCCTGTAAAAATTTTTCTTAAGGGGATGCTTGGGTGGCTGAGTTGGTTAAGCATCTGCCTTCGGCTCAGGTCATGATCCCAGGGTTCTGGGATCGAGCCTCACATCAGGTGCCTTGCTCAGCAGGGAGCCGGCTTCTCTTCTCCTGCTCCCCCTGCTTCTGCTCTCTCTCTCCCTCTCTGTCAAATAAATAAATGAAAATCTTAAAAAAAAAAACTTTCTTAGGTGTGATAGTGATATTGTGATTATGTAGGAGAATATTCTATTCTTAGGAAATGCATCCTGAAATATTAAGGGTAAAATGTCATGACGCCTGCAACTTACTTTTAACGGTTCTGTGAAAGTATATATACACACCCATGCGCATCCCAAAAGCAGAAAACTGAGAAGCAATGAAAGGTTAAGAAAAGGTAATTGGAGCAAGGGTAAGAGTTTAAGAGTTCTAGAATGTCCGAAGTCATGGAAATGTTTATTTACCTTAAATGTGAAATTTGCATCAAATATTAGTTCTTTCTCATGTCCTGTGATTCCTCCATTGTAAATCACTTGGCATCTCTCGGCTGGCCCTGTCTTAGGGAGTTTGAAGAGGCGAAATGTTGCAGAAACAAAGCGACAGTCACCTAAAACAGAATTTACCCATGGATCAGCTGCAGCACCCAAATGACTATTGGTTTGCTTAGCAGATGAAGAGCATATGTATCATAAAGGTGATTTTCTTCTTTGCAGCCATCAGTTATCTTTCTGGGCAGTTCACTTTATTTACTGAATAACTTTGAAGTGCTTTATTAAATACCAAACTTTGGGAGGTTGCTATTAAGCAGAAGACAGGATGGGTGATGACCCAGATGACCCAAAGTCTCCTTCAAATGAGACTCACTCAGTACACACTTGTTAATCACCACATGTGAACCATTCAGGGAGCAATTTTAACAATCCCCACTGCTATTTCTTACCAATCACTCTTTCCAATTCCTTGTTTTGAACTGTAATGAGATTGGCAGTGACCAAACGTGGAGGGCAGAAACCAATTTTTTGGGCAAGGACGGCAAGGTCCTTCCAGTACAAAGCACCACCGAGGCACTCACCTAAAAAAAAGAAAAATCACAGGCTAATCAACTAGGCATTCAAGAAATTACTCTTTTTTTTTTAAGAAATTACTCTTCTATAAAATTGATTAGGAATGGTATTATTAGTTGGGGCACCTAGCTGTCAAAAAAGCATGAGGCTCTTGACCTCAAAGTCATGAGTTTGAGTCCCATGTTGGGTATAGAGATTATTTAAATAAGCAAACTTAAAAAAAGGATATGGTATTAGTTAAAACATAGACCCTAAAAATAGAAAAAGGACCTGAGTGCCCCCAATATCTAGAAAGTCACAGTTAAAATGCAACATGCTAGCTAATGGCCCCTGGAAACCATTCTTCAAGACAGTCACTAATGTACTGTTTCCACCAACCTGTGATCATATTCTGGATGGATTAAGTCACATTCTGAAAAGCACTATGCTATGTGAGTAAAAACATATAAAGGATAATTTACACAGTTGTCTATTAGCTCCAGATTATCAAAAATGATGTGCTACTAGAATGATTACTACTAATATTCATAAGGCATTTTATAGTTTTTTTTAACTTATTACATCAACACATTAGAAACAACCCAAATGATTACCCATAGAGAAATTGTCAAAGTACACAACTGTACAATACAGTTGTAGGATACATACATTTAAAACATATTTTTAAACGTTTTAGGCTTAGGAAATATCCCAAAAACAGTTAGAATACTAAATTCTATATGTAGCATGCTCCTAACTTTATTATACATACATACACACACACATACACACATAGACACCCTAAAAGGATATCTACTAAAATGTTAGAGGTTATTGCTAGGTTACATGATAAGCAGTAATTTTTTCTTTTTCTTTTTGTATTTTCCAACATTTTAGCAATATTCATTTATTATTGTATGATAAGAAAAAGTTAACATCACTTATTTTTAAAGAACTGTTTTTTTTTAAATGGGATTCTTCTTTTCTTTTCTTTTCTTTTTTATTAATCTCTATACCTAATGTATGCTTGAGCTCACAACCCTGAGATCAAGAGTTCACATGCTCCCCGCACTGAGCTAACAAGGTGCCCCTAAAAGTAAGAACTTTGGATTTCATAGTCAGACTGACTACACGCATGCATTCATCTCAACTTCCAGAGACTCCGTTAAAATGACAATAACGGAAAAAACAATACAATAACACTGAGGACAGAAGGGAATGAAGGGGCTTCAGTCTGAGAACAGTTGCCATACTATGGGTTTCAAAGTATTTTTCATATCCACTATGTCATTTAATCTTCATAATAGTCCAGTAAAATGTAGATATTAATATCTACATTTGGATATTATAATAATATAATAATTTGGAAAACAATGACTTAAAGAGACTAAATTGTCCAAGGTCATACCACTCTTGAGTGACTGAGGAGCAAGGAGACAGAAGCCTCTCCCACTTAGTCCCATGTGTTCCTCCATCACAAAGGATATCAGCAGACCAGAGCTTTGTATGTGAACAAGTATCTGCCTTAAAACAAAACAAAGCAACACCTACCCCATAAAATTTTGTGTGTCCTGATTTCTTCTGGCAATTCAAGGCTAGCATAGACGTCACTGAAATACAGCTCCCCTCCATGCTGAAACAGCAGTATTAGTCCAAACAAGGTTAAAGATGACATTAGTCCAGATAGCAAAGAAAGGAATGAGGAGATAAAATCAATTTTAAAAACCAACAGAAGTACTGAGGTGATCCCTTGTGAACAAATTATAGCTGCCTCCCTATTTACAAGCAATAGCTGTGTGTCAAGATTTTCTTTCAGCGCTCTACCCAACAGACAATAAAATGACTTTCCAAGAGTGTTTCTCTCCTAAATAAAGATGCTGGGGTGCTTAAAATTTTAGCCAATCTGAACCAAATGCAGTCCCAGGCAGTTGTATAACTAACAGAAATAAAAAGCATTCCTAAATTCTTCTCCCTTAAAAATTATATAACTTTTATAATGTTATTTATTTTTATAATAATATTTTTTAAATGTCCTTAGGATCTCAGACATATGAGTGATTAGGAATTTTAAGATTGTATTTAGCAAAAAAAGGGGTGGGGGCACTCAGGTGGCTCAGTCAATTAAGCATCTGCCTTATTTCAGGTCATGATTTCAGGGTCCTGGGATGGAGCCTTACATCAGACTCTGCTCTCAGCAGGGAGCCTGTTTCTCCTTCTCCCTCTGCCTACCTCTCCACCTACTTGTGCTCGCTCTCTTGCTCTCTCAGTCAAATAAATAAATAAATAAAAATTTAAAAAGACAGTATATAGCTAGTTTCAAGGGCTCAGAGTCTAGATTGTACAATAATTTCTCTACCTTTTAGAAGTACATCTTGATGAAGATAGCAAGCTGGTCCATGACATATTAAATAAGACATTATTAAATCTTTTCTATATATTGTCTTTTGATCTCTACGACAGCTCTGTAAACCCAAAATCTCAGAATCTCATATCTTCTGTCACGAAGATGCACATCTCATGATATATGTAGAGGGTATGGAGCTCCTGCACATCTTCCTTTTAGAAAGCAGTTAACATAATAGTTCTATCATCTTTAACTTCCCAAAGATCTGAAATCCTGATAGAGATGAAATAAGCAGCTCCGAGAAACACTATATACAAGCTAGAAGAGTATATCCATAGGAATCTTTATAGTCAGTCCAAAAGTCCCTGCAGTTCCACAGATGCTATTTCTGACCATGTGCAGCAGGGAACAGGAGGAGAGACAGCAATAAGGCAAATACTTTACATGTTCAATGACAATCATGACTCTCAGATTTACTACCTTTTATGACAGGAGAGGAGAAAGACTCCATGTCTGGGGCATTCTTGCCATGCCCCTTTTTGTCATCCTTTTTTTAATGTAGGGAATAAGTTACCAGAGTTTGAGTTCTCAGCTCAAGGGGGGAAGAACAGAACAGATTCCATCTGCTCTTACTGATTTTTTTTTAATTTTATTACTGACATTTAAAGACCATTTGTCTCCCTCTTCCCTCACCTTTAGCACTCGGTACACCTCCTGCAGCACTGCTTGCTTATCTGGTACAAGGTTAATGACACAATTTGATCTAAAAAAGAACTGACGGAATGTCAGACAAATTTGCACACTACTCAGAGCTCCTCAAATCCTTCAGTCCCTAAAGATCTCTTCCATCATTTCCCAAAGCTGTATCATTCTTCCTGCCTCCCTCCTCTCTTCCCCACACTCAACTTTTCCCCCAAAAAAGGAGATGGACAAAGTGTTTAAAATTGCAATACATTGGGACGCTGGGGTGGCTCAGGGGTTGAGCGTCTGCCCTCGGCTCAGGATCAAGTTCCACATCAGGCTCCCTGCAAGGAGCCTCTGCCTACGTCTCTGCCTCCCCTCTGTGTCTCTCATGAATAAATAAAATCTTTTTTTTTTTGGAATAAATAAAATCTTTAAAAAAATAATAAAATAGGGATGCTTGGGTGGCTCAGTGGTTGGAGGCCTGCCTTCGGCTCAGGTCGTGATCCCGGGATCCAGGATCGAGTGCCGCATCGGGCTCCCTGTGAGGAGCCTGCTTCTCCCTCTGCCTGTGTTTCTGCCTCTCTCTCTTCTGTGTCTCTCATGAATAAATAAATAAATCTTTAAAAAAATAAAATAAAAAACCAATATATTGTTAGCCATATTGAGCGTGCAGGAAAAAAAAATCAGGCACGCTTATTTGTTTCTGCCCTGAGAGTCACCATGCAACAGCACAAAACCTGCAGCCAGATGCCTATTGCACCACGCACTGTTTATGTCACAGGTAAATTGGCGAAATTCCTCCAAGGCAGCTTTATTAAGGCTGTCACCTGGGCATGATTTGACAACAACTCTAAGAAAAAGAAGAAACACAGACTCCTATACTTTGCTGTGACAATAATACTAAAGATAACACATCAGTGTGTGTTCTATGAGCAGACTCAGTGGTCCTGCTCTTCTTCTGGGCTCATCCGTTCATGGATAAGTTTACAATTGGTTCTCTCCTGGGCTAGTGTGTTCTGAGGCCCTTGGGCTACAAGTGCCCGAGAGCAACTCCCTCCCTTTATCAAGTCATGAGTAACACCCCAAATCAGAGTCAGTATAGCGAAGAGTGGTGACATTTGTGTTCAACAGGAAATGGACTATATTCACAAAAATGAGGGTGTAGACCTACATAACTATATCATAACTCTCATCCTTGATTCCAATCTCCTCCAATTTCTCTATGTAGCCATGTAGAAAAGTCACATTGGGGGTCTGGAAGCCATATTTTTCCATGTGATATTCAATATACTTCTTAGCCACTTCTACCTAAAACACACAAAAACAAAAAATATTTATACTTATATATAAATTTGATAATCATTTTTTAAAAATATGGTACTTCTGGGGACACCTGGGTGGCTCAGCAGTTGAGCATCTGCCTTTGACTCAGGGCGTGATCCCGGGATCCAAGATCGAGTCCCACATGGGGCTCCTGCAGAGAGCCTGCCTCTCCTTAATAAATAAATAAAATATTTACAAAATATATGCTACTTTTTTACTAAAAATTTCCTATTACTAATGGAATATTAGTAATATATTTTTGGATAAGTGTACAAGGTTCCTCTGGGCATGTAGGACATTACATGGGAAATGTAATGTCTGGGAAAACTCAATGAGGGATAAACTCCCACTTGATACATGGATTTTTTTGTTGTTGTTGTTAATTAAGTAGGCTCCACACCCAGCGAGGGGCTTGAACTCATGACCCTGACAGCAAGCATTGCATGCTCTCCTGCCTGCGTCGACCAAGTGTCCCTTGATGTATATATTTTGCTTGAATAAACTTTTCACTCAGTAACAAAATCCATCAAGATAGGTGGCAGAGGAAGGGAAAAATCAGATTCCAATGGGTGATTATGATATTCCTATGTCAGGTCAAACCTCTGACTCTGTTCTCCCAGAAGGGCTCCTAGTTATCAAAGTTCTCAGGCTTCGGGGACAGGAAACCCTAGTGGCACAAATGAGCTTTGTATTGAGTAGCCCTCTTAGATTATCCTCAAAGACTCACAAAGGAAACAACTTCATCTCTAAAAGAATGAGATGAGAATTTCTTCCTTGTTGTCCTCCAAATCACTGCCTCACCTGACTTTCTGTCATGTCTATCCCAGTGACATGTCCTGTCTCACCAACCAGCTGACTAAGTGCATAGCAATCTCTGCCACTTCCACTGCCCAGGTCCAAAATCCAGCAGTTCTCCAGACACTCAGGGATGACCAGACCACAGCCGTAATACCTGGGAAATAGAAAACACATACATATATACATATTTTTTCCCCTAGAGACTAGAATATGTGGAATCACTACATCTTACAAATCCTTCCTTCCCACCTCCCTCCTTCCTTTCTGTCCCTCCTTGCTTTCATCATTTACTGGATTACCATTTAGGTGTTCAGTTTCCCTCACTAAACTGGAAGCTCCATGAAAACTGGGACTCTGCTTTGTTTACCATTGTTACCAAGGTTGGGCATTGTACCAGGTACTAAGACAAATAAGCCATTTACAATATTTGTTGAATAAATATATTTAGTTAGGCATTAGCTGAACATCTACTACAGGTCCAGAACTTCTGTCCCCTGGGGGTATTTACCTGGGGAGGCAACCCATGAGCACAGAAAACACTTACCATGATTTACTGCATTGGCAGTAAATGCTATAGTGGTTTAGGGAAGAGGGTGCTCAAGGATAGAAATGGCCTCACAAACCAGGCAGGCCATCAGTGAAGTGTTGGAAGGCAGAAAGGAGAGGGAAGGTGTTCCAGATCAATAATTGCATGTGAGGCAGGAGGAAGGGAAAGAGCTGGCTGGAACAGTTAGTGCATCAGAAGGAACTGGGGTTGGCTAGGAAGGGGGGACCAAACTGCACAACCTGGACAATCCAAGGTGTATAAACGTATCCTGAGTAAAGGGGGGATGGGGTTGGGGGTTTTAAACAGAGCTGTAAGATGATCAGAGCTGTGCTTTACTAGTTTTATAATAGACAAGGCAAACCAGATGGATTGGAGGAAATGGATTAATTAATTAATTCCCTAGTGACCACATTACTATCTTTTGAAAAAGCTGCTGTCTGGGATGCCTGGGTAGCTCTGTCTTTGGCTCAGGGCGTTATCCCAGTCTGCGTATGGAGTCCTACATTCGGCTCCCTGGGTGGAGCCTGCTTCTTCCTCTGCCTATGCCTCTGCCTTTCTCTGTGCATCTCTCATGAATAAATAAATAAATATATTAATAATAAAAAAAAAGTTGCTCTCTAGAGTCTTTGTGATGGGGGGCGGGGCTGGCACAGGGCACTCTACCTCAAGGTTACTTCTTCGTGTACATTCCTCAAGGCTTCCTGGATGTGCCTGGGGACCAGCCTGGCTGTAGTGACACAGGCACTGGTCTGGAGGTCCCCTGATTTCTTCAGCACCTGCCCGTAGTAGGTCTGACCAGAGGCCATGGGCAGGGTGGAGGTGGGGAGAGAGAAGAGCTGGAGATGGTCTCCACAGGGTGAAGGGTGAAGGCTTCCATGCCCACCACCACCCCCATCCCCACCCATGCAGGCCTGGTGAGGCTTTCTCCCCGAAAAGCTCTAAGCCCAAACTCTGCCCTGCACCCCCTCCTGTCCCCTCCCTGATGCTGAGGGGAAGGGCACAGGCGGCCTGGGCTCCCAAAGGCCTAGTGCTCCCCCTCAGCCGAGGCTCCTCCTTGGCCATTCCCGGCCCTCCTGCGGCACCTGCACGTCCTTCCAGATCTCCGCGTCGCGGGAGGCGGCCACTGCCAAGAGGAGAAAAGGAAACTGAAAGGCGAAGGTGCTGAGCACCTGCAAGGGGAAAGGGCTTGCGCTAAGACAAAGCGGGGGTTAGGGGGCGGGCTGGGAGCCCCGGAGGTGGTGCTTGGTGGGGGCCGGTGACTGCAGGACCTGCCTTGAGGAGCTGCACGGGGAGGCCCGGCAGGGAGGCGGGGGGGGGGGGGGCGGCGCACTCACTGTCTCCTCGGCCTCCGGATTCCAGATTTGGGTACACCTGCAACCAGCTCCCCAGGCTCCGCGCTCCGGAGGCCCCGCCCCGGGCCAGGCGGCCGGATGTCCTGCGGGGCGGGCTTCCGGGGGCTGCGCCCGGGGCTCCAGGCCGCTGCACCTGCCGGCTCGCGAGGCGGGCACCTGCCGCCGGGGGCCTCCCCGCAGTCGCCCACCTGCCCCCACAGGCCGCTCTGCTCCTGCTGGGCCGTGTCATCTCTCTCTTTAGTCTTTCCAACCAGAAAGAGGCTATTACTATACATTAGTGTATCTTCCTTTATCGCTCCGCTGTGGTTTTCATTTTATAAATCTATTTGCACTTAAATGCAGACCCATATGACTTTTACCCCCTTTGGGAATGCAATTATCTTCTCTCAATTTTTTTAAATTGAAGTCTAGTTGACATATAATGTTACAGAAGCCTCAGGTGACATAGTGATTCCATAATCCCATACGATACACGACGCTCACCACAAGCCTAGCTGCCAACTGCCACCAGTTATTACATTATTGATTATATTCCCTATGCTGTGCTTTTTTTTTTAAGATTTTATTTATTTATTCATGATGGACAGAGAGAGAGAGAGAGAGAGGCAGAGACACAGGCAGAGGGAGAAGCAGGTTCCATGCCGGGAGGACGCGGGACTCGATCCCGGGACTCCAGAACCACACCCCGGGCCAAAGGCAGGCGCCAAACTGCTGAGCCACCCAGGGATCCCCTATGCTGTGCTTTTTAATCCTCATGAATTATTCATCTTACAACTGTAAGATTGTACTTTTTTTTTTGTACTTCTTAATCCTCTTCACCGATTTTGCCCATCCCTGCCTTAGCAACCACCAGTTTGTATTTATCAGTTTATTATTTTTTTTAGATCCTATATATTAATTATATGACATTTGTCTTTCCCTGCCTGACTTATTTCACATGGCATTATACACCCTTGGTCCATCATGTTGTCCTAAATAACAAGATCTCATTCTTTTTTATAGCTGTGTAATATTCCACTATATAAATATGGAATTACATATTATTGTGTGTGTGTGTATACACACATATATACACACCACTTCTTTATCCATTCATTTACTGATGGACACTTAGTTGCTTCCATATCTTGGCTAATGTAAATAATGCTGCAACAAACAAAGGGGTGCATAAAACTTTTAGTTTTCAGGTTTTTTGGGTAAATACTCAGCAATGGAATTACTAGATCACATGGAATTCTATTTTTAACTTTCTGAGGATCCCCCATACTGCTTTCCACAGTGAGTGCACCAGTTTGCATTCACACCAACAGTGGGAGGGTTTCCTTTTGTCCACATCTTCGCCAACACTTGTTATTTCTTGTCCTTTTGAGATCAGTCATTTTGACTGGTGGTATCTTATTATGGTTCTGAATTGCATTTATCTGATGAGTGATCATGCACATCTTTTCACATCTGTTGGCCAGATGCATATCTTCTTTGGAGAAATGTCTGTTCAGGTCCTCTGCCCATTTTTTAAACAGAATATTCTCAATCTATTTTTAAAGTCAGGTTTATTGAAATATAATTTACATTCAGTAAAATTCAACTTTCTCTAGTGTACAGTTCTGTGAATTCTGACAAAGGTACACATGACAGTTAAGACCCTCTCATACTAAAATATTTCTTTATGCCCCTTTGTAGGAAATCCCAATCCCCTCCCCTACCAGCTCCTAAACCACCACAGAACTATTCTCCTGCCTTTTCCCGGATGCCATGGAATCATACTGTGTGCATGCAGTAGTTCTCAGTCTGTAAATTGTATTTAGGAAATCAACTCTGTTAAATTCATTTTTAACCTCTAGTAGTTTCTAGTCGATTGTGTTTCCTAAGTAATGTCATTCCATCCTGCCAAAAGTTTTTTTTTCCATCCCTATATTGAAAAACAGCATGGTGGGATCCCTGGGTGGCGCAGCGGTTTGGCGCCTGCCTTTGGCCCAGGGCGCGATCCTGGAGACCCAGGATCGAATCCCACATCGGGCTCCCGGTGCATGGAGCCTGCTTCTCCCTCTGCCTGTCTCTGCCTCTCTCTCTGTGTGTGTGTGTGTAACTATCATAAATAAATAAAAATTAAAAAAAAAAAAAAGAAAAACAGCATGGTCCATTTCTGTATAGATTTTTTTTTCAGTTAAGTACAGTACTGTAAATGTATTTACTTCCTTTGCAATTTTCTTAATAACATAGTTTTTTCTCTAGCTTACTTTATTGTAAATACAGTATATAGCACATATAACATACAAATTATGTATTGACTGTTTATGTTATTGATAAGGCTTCTAGCCAATAGTAGGCTATTAGTAGTTAAGTTTTTGGGGAGTCAAAAGTTATACACAGATTTTCGACTGTGCAGGTTTGGTATCCCAACCCCCATGTTGTATAAGGGCTCACTGTATTTTTCTATCTTACTTCCTTCTGTGGTCATAATAAGTATTTCTATTTATTAGGATAGGAAGAAGATATCGATATCTAAATGGGACTAAATTTACTATGTTACACTCATTTTTCAATTTCATCTGCTAATAACAATCTTCCTTGATGTTGATTAGTTGTTGTTAAATATTAATAGAAGGTGTTGTATTTTAATATTTTTAAAGATTTAAACCCATGAAAACAATCCTTGTTGGAATATTTTTATAGCTTAGAATATTTCCAACTATTAAGTGTGCAAAAATGCGTGTTTCTATAGCTATCGGTTTCTTGGCAATTGTATAATGGTAAAAACACTCTTGAATATTCATTTTCAAAATTCTGTCTCCTTGGGATCCCTGGGTGGCTCAGCAGTTTGGTGCCTGCCTTTGGCCCATAGGGTGATTCTGGAGTCCCGGGATTGAATCCCACATTGGGCTCCCTGCATGGAGCCTGCTTCTCCCTCTGCCTGTGTCTTTGCCTCTCTCTCTCTCTATGTCTCGAATGAATGAATGAATGAATAAACCAAAATACTGCCTCCATAAAATTAGTTCCTTTAGAAAAGCCTTCACTTTCTCACTCATTATTAAAGTGCTACTTTTATCTTGAAGGCAAAGATTAATGGGAGTTAAGGAAAGGGCTTTACTGTTTTCTACTTGTTCACTGTACTTACTTTAGTATGTTATCCTCAATTTGTGGGCTTTCACAAGAATCATTTGATAAGCCTAAAATCCACATAACCACACACAGATAAACCACAATAAAGCAAACCACCATCAACTTAAATTGAGTGATTCCCAATTTTCTGTCAGGAATCTAGTGTACAGCACTGATTCTGCACCTCATTGCTTGCAGCCATCATTCATTCTGATGGTCCGTGCACCAACTACAGGGGTTTTGTTTTTTTTTAAATTACCCTGGCTAAAGGACAGGCATGCTGAGTAGATCAGTAAGCTCTGTAGAGCTTTGATCTGTAGACCAAATCAGAGCTCTCATATCAAGTCATATTTTAAATATTAACAAAATAATTATCTTTCTTAAGATAAAAAATAAACATACATAGAAAATTTCATATTTGAGGTGCCTGGTGGTTCAGTCGGTTAAGCATCTACTGTCATGTCAGGTCATGGTCCTAGGGTTCTGGGTCCTGGGACTGAGCTCCTCATTAGGTTCTGTGCTCAGCAGAGAGTCTGCTTCTTCCTCTCCCTCTGCCCCTCCCCCTGCTTGTGTTCTCTCTCTTACTCGCTCACTCTCTCTCTCAAATAAAATCTTAAAAAAAAAAAGTAAAATAAAAAAAATTTTTTAAAGAAATCTTCATATCTTCTTTCCTTACCTCCAAGGATGGCCTTGTGCATACTTCCCCATATCCCACCTTGGAACTAAACTACTGGTCTGACAATTACAGAATCGTCCAGAAAGACAGATTTTGGTTCAATACACAGACCATCTTTAAAGAAGTAGAGCTTTTCAAAATGGCCAGCATCCCTAAGTAAAGGATTGCCCAAAATTGGAAGCATTCAGGCAGAAGCCAGATGACCAGCTGGATGTTTACTTGCCGGAGATGCAGTGGCAGGGGTAAATGCATTGGATTCAATTACTTCCAAGGTCCTTTCTTTTGTACTGTGTTAAATACTAGAAAATGACAAGTAGCACCCACATTTCTATTTATAATAAAAGTAACAGACAACAGAGAGCTAGACTAGTACTCAAAAGATCTATCATCAAACTCAATAACTTTGGGTAGTCATGCCCTGTCCCTGGCTATGTTTTAACCCCTGTAAAACATGGGGCCAGAATTCAGTCACTTTTGAGACCCCATACAGAGCTAAGATTCTGGGGTTGATTCTTTCTTCTTTACCAAATATTCTATGATGGTTCTTTTTTTCTTTTAATTTAATTTAATCTATTTATTCATGAAAGACACAGAGAGGGAGAGAGAAGCAGAGACACAGGCAGAGGGAGAAGCAGGCTCCATGCAGGGAACCTGACGTGGGACTCCATCCTAGGACTCCAGGATCACACCCTGGGCCGAAGGCAGGTGCTAAACTGCTGAACCATCCAGGGACCCCCCCCATATGTTGGTTCTTTAGAAAGAACTCTGGAAAGAAATTTTTTTTCTTTTTTTTTTTTTGGTTTTAATTAGAAATAAGTTAATTTTTTCAAATGCCCTTATTACAGTGATATATGATTTAATGTTTCTTATCAATGTAATGTGTTTTGCAGTTGTTACATCAATTTTGCAATTCTGGAATTATCTTAGCAATCTTCAAAAATGTTTCTCTATTAAATTGTCTGAGATTTTATTAGGATTTTTGCATCTATGTTCATAAATAAGAATTTCCTAAATTTTCTTATGCTATTTTGCTTTTAATTTTTAAAAATGAAAGTCACGGATCCCTGGGTGGCGCAGTGGTTTGGCGCCTGTCTTTGGCCCCGGGCACGATCCTGGAGACCCGGGATCGAATCCCACGTCAGGCTCCCGGTGCATGGAGCCTGCTTCTCCCTCTGCCTGTGTCCTGCCTCCTCTCCTCTCTCTCTCTCTCTCTCTCTCTCTCTGTGACTGTCATAAATAAATAAAAAATTAAAAAATAAATAAAATAAAAATGAAAGTCACAAGGGCACGTGGCTGGCCCAGTTGGTAGAGCATGTGACTCTTGACCTGGGAGATAAGTTTGAGCCCCATGTTGGGTATAGTGATTACTTAAAAAATAAAATCTTTAAAAATAATTAAATAAATAAAAATAAAAATGAAAGTCATATTAATTTCAGCAAATGAACTGGGTATCTTACTATTATTTTCTATACTTTGGGAGTATATGGAAACTCTCTGATAGTTTGGAAAAGTCTCAGGAAAGCCATCACAAGCAAATGACTTTCCTTTTTTTATTCTTTATTTTTTATGTAAGCTCTAGGCCCAATGTGGGGTTCAAACTCATCACCCCAAGATCAAGAGTGGCAAGCTCTTCTGACTGAGCCAGGTAGGTGCCCCAGACATACTCTCTTTTAAATGGCAGTTTTGTAATATTCTATCTTTAAAGGAGCCACACATTTTGATACTAGCATTCAAATTTCTAGCATCAAGCTGACAGATCATGCTTTTAAAATCTAATTGATTTATATATCTCCATTTCAATTATAAATTTACTAATGTGTACTTTTAGATTGAGTGGATACTTTACCAATTTAATTTTTAAGATTTTATTTTTAAGAAATCTCCACACCCAATGTGGAGCTTGAACTTGCAACTCCAAGATCAAGAGTCACATGCTCTACCAATTGAAAACTATCCAGGTGCCGAATACTTTTCCAATTTAATCTATAAGAACCAATTAATTATATCAAATATTTTTCAAATTCTTATCATTCATGCTCGGTTTTCTTATTCTATTTTAATTTCTTCTCTAAGTTCTAGCCACAAACTCCTTAAAAAAAAGAAAACATTTCCACCCTTTTCCCTAATATGGAGATTTAAAGCAGGATTTTTTTCCTTTATATTACTGCTTAGGTTCTATCACATGAATTTTCTTGCATAGAATTTGAATTTTCATGGGATGCCTAGGCGGCTCAGCAGTTTGGTGCCTGCCTTCGACCCAGGGCGTTGTCCTGGGGTCCCCGGATCGAGTCCCACATAGGGCTCCCTGCATGGGGCCTGCTTCTCCCTCTACTTGTGTCTCTGCCCCTCGCTCTCTGTGTCTCTCATGAATAAATAAATAAAATCTTAAAATAAAAAAAAAGAATATGAATTTTCACTATTTTAAAAATATTATCTTTCAACATATTCTCTACAACCCAGATGTTATTTAAAGAAGTATTTTTAGTTTCCATATGTTTGATCACCATTTAATTCTACCTAACCCATTATTTCCACAAGAGACATACTATCAAATTATGTATATAATTCTGACTGTTGATACTTTTTTGGCTACTTTTCTTTCATGGATTTTGGCATTACGTTCTTTAAAATGACTAAATTTGGGGATCCCCAGGTGGCTCAGCGGTTTAGTGCCTGCCTTTGGCCCGGGGCGTGATCCTGGAGTCCAGGGATCAAGCCCCATGTTGGGCTCCCTGCATGGAGCCTGCTTCTCCCTCTGCCTGTGTCTCTGCCTCTCTCTCTCTCTGTGTGTCTCTCATGAATAAATAAATAAATAAATAAATAATAAATAAATAAATAATCTTTAAAAAATTTTTAAAAAATGACTAAATTCAGTACTACTAGGTTTTATTTATTGTAAATTTTACACATACCATTAAAATTTTGATGATGAATTTTTTATCAAGTATAATGTAAGCAATCATTGCTTCTTTAATATTTGTTCCATCATGATAAGGAAAACTTAGACCATACCTTTACTTTAATTTTTAATTTTTTACAAATGTCATGTTAGATATTTCTTTGCATCTTGGATACTTGGATGATTAAACTTTGCTTTGCTTTCTAAACTGATGATCCTTTTAAAATACTGGTCCTTGGATTTTCTAAGCAGATAATCCTACCATATGATAATAATTTTATCTCCTTGTTGCTCATAATAGCTATCCTTATTTTTAATTTCTGCACTAGACATGGCCTCCAGCAAAATGCTGAATAGCAACAGTGATAGTAACATCCTCCAATAATGCCAAATGTTTTACTCCTAATATGACATTTGCTGTCAATTTGTGACCCTTCTTTTAGAAGGTGAATTAAATCCACTTACATTTAATAATTGTGATGAGTGTTATAGAATGAATGCATAACTAAATTCCTTCACACTTAGTTTTTTTCTTTTACCTTAAGTTAATGTGTATAGGTATAATGAGGGATAAATACAACCTAATATAATTAGTCAACTTGATGATATACAATATGAATTAAATTTGACTCTTACTTGCTTTTTCTTTTTCACTGAAAATACCACCATTTTCTTATGTCAGCTTTCTCCTAATTCCTTAGTGAAGTAAGAAATGAACTAGAACACGACATGGTCCCATTTAAAATTCAAAGACATTCAAAGAAATGCTTTTCAGCAAGATGAATTAAATGAACATGGGCAAATATCTAAAAACAGAAGGCTTTCACCATGGCACAACCCTACACTGCCTTTGCATTTGGCAGTAATGTTCTACAAGTGAATCTGCTGATGATTAGCAAAATTACAAAATGAACCCAAGGCCAATTAATCTAGAGTCACAAAAAAGAAATGCAGGTCAAGGCAGGAGTTTGCAGCTGGCCAGATATGGTACCATTTGCCTAATTTTCAATTGGGAATTTGCTACAGTGAATAAAATAAGTATCTCCTCTGAGTTAATAAAAAATAACAGATATTACCTATCACCATTCTGTAACCATGAGACTTCCTGAACATATATATGATCAAAAGAAGTCTTTAAAAAGAATATTAAGAGGATCCCTGGGTGGCTCAGCGGTTTGGCACCTGCCTTTGGCTCAGGCTGTGATCCTGGAGACCGGGGATCGAGTCCCACACTGGGCTCCCTGCATGGAGCCTGCTTCTCCCTCTGCCTCTCTCTCGCTGTCTTTTATGAATAAATAAATAAAATCTTTTAAAAAAATAAAAATAAAATAAAATAAAAATAATATTAATCATTCCTATGTTTTCACAGTAGAAGCCTGATTTTTGAATTTAAAATATTATTCAGCATTTGCTTAAGAATCACATTTAGATGACATAGTTTTTCAGATATAAAAGTTCTGTGGGAAAAACTAAGATCTTTTTTATTTTGCTTTAACATAAAACTAAACAGAGCAATTAAAAAATTCAGTAAGAGCATGGGTTAGTCTGCTTTAAGAGTACTTCCAAAATTCAACCACCCAGCTTCTCTTCAGAGGAAACTGTAGACCATCACAAATCTTTTCTAACTTAACTTTTGGAGAAGAAAATGGAAAATTTAAACCCACAGGACAGTAATTGAATAAAATATTTCCTTCTCAGTGTCAGGCAAAGAAGTGCTTTTCCTGCTTACAAGCCATTCTATTTCAACAGATGATTCAACTGGTCCTGTAGATCAGAAGACTGCTCAACACTAAAAATTAGAACAGAGAAGAAATTTATCTGGAATGAGCAATAAAGACCTCTCTTTGTACAATTTGTACTTTAATGCATACATACTGCTGAAGCTAAATCAAAATTTATATTGGTCCACTACAGTCCCAGAAGTTTAAACTATGAAAAAAAGGTTTGTAAAGCCAATTAGTGTAACTAATGTTGTAAGGGACAGATTTAATCCACTCAAAAAAACCCCAATATTGGTTAATGACTTTATTAGCACCTTTACTTAATAAATATTACCAGTGTAGAAAGTTTTCTATCCCTTAAGGTTGGCTTCTACACCTTGTAATTTTTAGAAAACCTTGACTAGCAATGAACTGACTTACTGCATACCTTTGAAATATACAGTTGACCTTGAATAATGTGGGAGTTACAGGAGCTGATGCCCCACACAGTCAAAATCTATGTATAACCTGACTCCCCCAAATCTTAACTACTAAGAGCTTACTGTTGACCAGAAGCCTAACTGATAATATAAACAGCCAATTAACACATATTTTGTGTTATATGTATTATAGGCTACACTCTTATAATAAAGTAAGCTAGAGAAAAAATTTTATTAAGAAAACTATAAGGAAGAAAAAATAAACATTTACAATACTGTATCGGATTTATCAAAAAAAAATCTGTGTGTTAAGTGGAACTGTGTAGCTCAAACTTGTATTGTTCAAGGGTCAACTGTACTGTTTTCTTTATATCCCAAATGAGCCAACCCAGAACACATGACAGTTTAAGGCTATGTGTCAACCAGAGTTTCACATTGATCCTAGGCCCAGAAGTACAATTCCCTGCAGTTGATCCCCCCGACTCCCCCATCTTTGGGGTTACTTACTTCTTCTGAATAGCTTCTTGCCTAAATAAGAAAAGGAAAGAGGAAAACAAACATTAAAAAATCTAAGAAAACTAGTTCAACTTATGGTGAGGTATTTGAAATAGGCAGAACGAATTTCTAGCTTATGTCACAATCTATATTTCTGTCCATTCTAGCTTAAGACTATGCTCTTGAAGCTCTGTTCACTGAGTGAAGAGTTGCTAAAAAGATGGATTCTAAGCCTGAAGAGGTAATGGCCCTCTATCAGACTGAGGGAGGTGGTGCCACTTACTATATATATGGCTCACATTCAGTCCAGGTATGTGGAGCCTAATGGTCACACACCTGATATACACACACACCAAGAATGAACATTGAGCTGTTTAAAATTTTTTTTATATAATTTGTATTTATTCATAGAGACAGACAGAGAGAGAGAGAGGCAGAGACACAGGCAGAGGGAGAAGCAGGCATCATACAGAGAGCCTGATGTGGGACTCAATCCAGGGTCTCCAGGATCAAGCCCTGGGCTGCAGGCGGCGCTAAACCGCTGCGCCACTGGGGCTGCCCGAGCTGTTTAAATGTTAAGAGTTAAATTCTCATTCATACATTTCTAATAGGTACCTAAGTAATATCAACTATATAAAATATAAAGCAAAATGAAATACAATGAAAAGCTAATTAAAATTTATCCAAGGGTGTCTGGATGGCTCAGTGGTTGAGTATCTGCCTTTGGCTTAAGTTATGATCCCAGAGTCCCAAGGGTAGAGTCTTGCATCAGGGTCTCCCTGGGGGAGCCTGCTTCTCCTTCTGCCTCTCTGTGTCTCTTATGAATAAATAAATAAAATCTCAATAAAAAAAAAAGTTATCCAAAATTGTAACAGAGAGAGTTCTCTAGATTTCAAAATCTCCTGGATGATTTACATGTAGGGCTGGCTTAAATGGGGGACTACAGGATACAGGCCACAGCTACACTTGATTTCCTAGTGCAAGCACAGACTCCCCAGGAGGGACCCTGGGCACAAGTAGTCAACAGATACTGATTGTCTACCAGAAGCATGATCCTGGCACGGGCCCTGTCCTCCTGGGGTTTAGAGTCTCTCTCTCTGAGGAGCCCCCAGATGAATAGAGAGACTCACAAAAGGCAGTCTCTGCTCTTGATCTCACCCCATACTCCGGCTTCTTCTGCAGTCGCAGCCATCTTTTCCAGAAGGAGCTCATTCTTAACTAACCCCACCTCTACTCCCAACTCCTGCTTTTATAGGAAAATATGCTGAAGCACAAAGGCAGGTGGGGTGGGGGGTGTCAATCTGTGGAAGGTGACTTTGCAACAAGCCAGCACTGGAGAGGGCATACTCACTGGTATTGAAGGTGTGTTGTTATTATTGCCATTTTCCTTAAACTCTGCATTTAAAAAAAAAGAACAAAACAAAAAAACAGACAGAGAACATTGCACTTTCTTGTAGCCACACCAATTATGTAGATAAAACCCAAATCATAAAAGGAATTGTTCCTTACATCTTCTGAGTGCAAGATGGCATCTTCCTGCAGGACCATGTTTCGAGCCGCCTGACCTAGCAGCTGGAAGACAAAAATAAAGTGGTAATGATCAAAATCTGCAAACTTCCTGTCATCTTCTCTTGCAGCTGTTATACCACCGCCCTCTCTCCTCCCCTCCCCCCATACAACTACAAATGCTCCAAATGTAACAGAGGATAATTTCCAATTTGTTCACGTTGAAAATCCAAATTCAGGGTCACTCTGGCAGTCCTGGCCTGGGCTCACCACCCGTTCCAAAGGCTACTGCTTAAGAAATCAAGGGCTCCCTGTGTAGCTTATGAGCCAAGAGCTGAAAGGAGAAGTCTGCAAAGAAAACTTTGGCTGCACAGGCCCAGTGAGAACTTTTGGTTTTTTAAAGGCAAATCTGACATTTGGGGTGGTTTGAAAGGGATGAGGGAGCAGGAACTAGGGCAGGGCTAAAAAGGAGAGCAGGAATATAGCTGTTTAGAAATGGAATGAGAGAGGGACACCTGGGTGGCTCAGCGGTTGAGCGTCTGCCTTTGGCTGAGGGCGTGATCTCGGAGTCCTGCAATCAAGTCCCACATCAGGCTTCCGGTATGGAGCCTGCTTCTCCCTCTGTCTGTGTCTCTGCCTCTCTCTGTGTGTCTCTCATGAATAAATAAATAAAATATTTTTAAAATAAATAAATAAACAGGGGATCCCTGGGTGGCGCAGCGGTTTGGCGCCTGCCTTTGGCCCAGGGCGCGATCCTGGAGACCCGGGATCGAATCCCACATCAGGCTCCCGGTGCATGGAGCCTGCTTCTCCCTCTGCCTGTGTCTCTGCCTCTCTCTCTCTCTGTGTGACTATCATAAATAAATAAAATTTAAAAATAAATAAATAAATAAATAAATAAATAAACAAACAAAAACAATCAGAAAAAAAAAAAGAAGAAGAAATGGGAATGGAATGAGAGAGACACACAGAACACAAAGAAGCCTAGGAAGAAGCTCGGGGTTGAAATGGGAAAGCACCACAGGAAGGATGGCCGGATGGGGCAGGGTAGGATACAAGGAGAAAATGTAACTGTACTTAGGGCAGTGAGCAAAGCTCCACCCACGTAGAGAATTGTGAATCACTGTGCTGTACACTTGAAACTAATATAACATTGTATGTCAACTATATTTCAATTTAAAAAGAAAGACAAAAAGGAGAAATGTGGAAGTGGATTTTGATGACTTCTGATAGCTGATAGAGGGGCCACAAGACCAAGAGACAAAAGCTGAGCTCTGATTCAGATGGCTCGCCTGTGGCCACGGAGATGTGACTCAGGGCTGTGAGGCAAGGGGAGATGGACAGAAGTCTGTGGCCTACTGTCATACTCTGCTCCAGCAGACATGAAGTCCAACCCCATAAGGGGAGCTGCTGCTATGTACATCCTACCTACCGTCCCTGTTCCCTTGGGCCAGAGAGATTCCGATGAAGAGGGGACCAATGACCTAAAATTCACCAGGAATAGCAGCATTGCTATGGCCTCCAGATAGTCTTTTTACTAATTTTCAAGTTTTAAAATTAATAAACCTATATGTGCTTCTAAGTCGAAACAGTAAAATAAGACCTTCGATCCCTGTCCCTTTCCCTACCCATTCTCCTTCCCCTATGCATAAATATTTTTTTAGAGGCGCCTGGTTGGCTCAGGTAGTAGAGCACGTGCGACTCTTGATCTCAGGGTCATGAGTTCAAGCCCCATGTTGGGCATGGAGCCTACTTAACTAAGCTAAATAAATAAATAAAAATTAAAAATATACATATACTACCTATGTACATATAATAATGGGATATATATAGTATATATATATATAATATACACACACACAGGGTTCAGCTTTCCATTGCTTCTTTCTAAAAGTGGACATACATATATACCTGTCCCCCTCCTTACTTAAAATGTAACTACTATCTGCACTCTTCCACACAGTGCTATTTTCACTTGACAAGATAGTCTAAAATGTGCAGTAATTTATACTGAATCTGTGCATTGCTCTTTTATGGCTGCTGAGCACTCTGCTGTATACATGCCCCCGTAAGATTATTCAACCAGTTGTCTTGTAGACTTTGGGACTATTTCTAGTCTTTGCTATTATAAGTAGTGCTACAAAAAAAAAAAAAAAAAAAAACAACCTATATATCTATGTGTCTTTTTGCTAGTGTATCTTTGGGATAGATTCATAGAATTATGACTGTGATTGCTGGATGAGGGGATTTTAGTTTTGCTACATATTGCCAAATTCCCCTCCACAAGGGTTACACCATTTCACACTCCTGTCCACAATGTATTAGAGTGCCTCTGGCCACTTTTAAGTGGCCAACTCCAAAGTCCTATAGACGGGAGATGGTGACAGACAAACTGATGACAGAAAGAAAAGGTTCTCACAGAATCTTCCTCATTCATTGAGTCGGTCAGTCAACAAATATTTATTAAGTGCTTATAATATGCTAGGGAGAAACATAGCCCCTGTCCTCACAGGGCTCACAATTTGGGGACACAGGCACTACCTTATGGTAACAGCTGATAGGGAAGCACCAGATGACTGGGCAGCACAGGGGGGGGGGATGTGACCCATTACAGGGATGGGTGTTCAGGGAGGGCTTCCTAAAAGAAGTGACTTCTAAGCAGAACCTAAAAGTCGAGCACAATCAGATTTACTGTTTTAGAAGCGTGGCAAGCAGAATGGACTGAAGCAGGGACTGAAGTCAGAGAGACTGGTTTGGGAGAACACTGCCATAGTCTAGGCAAGCAGTGAAAGTCGCCTGAGCCACAGGAGTGGCAGTTGAAAGGCAGGCGGCCAGGGTGGGGGAGGTGATCATTTAGAAGATAGACTCAAGGAGACTCATGATTCCTGGACTCGTGATAGCTGTTGCAATGCAGGGCCAAGGCCCTTTCTTTGATGAAAGATGTCTTCATTGGCATTCTGCATCATTTTCTTGCATAAACCAACCACGCACATCACATATCATTTAAGATGTCCGGTTTGGGTTCCTTTAAAGTGGAACAACATCTTGAGTATTTCCCCCTAGGCTTTTACCATTGGCTTGCTCATTTGAGTTGCTATTAAGCAACTCAATAGCAATCTTAGCTACTCATCTTCAACAAGTATTATTACTAAGTTGCTATTTGTTAGCTCTTCATCTTCAAGATCTTTCCAACATAGTTTTCATAGCAATTCCAATTCCCTTTTTGTTTTCATTCTGGTTCATCATTTTCCATATTATTGCATTAAATAATGCAATTACAGTAGCAAGCATAAACACAGGCTTAAGATAACAAAGGAGCCTAAAAAAGAGAACCCCCTCCCCCACAATGGACCCTTTACTCAGCACACAACTCGACTGGAGGAGTAGAGGTGCAGGCGTACACAGGAGGAGCGTGGGGATCACACATGTGGGCACAGGCTGGCATGTTCTTCCCCACTTGGTACTCCAGCCATACTGGCCTCCTCGCACACCCTGTACACACTCCCATTTCAAGACATTTGCTTTTGCCATTTCTTCTATTTGGAACTCTCTGCCTCCGGATGTCCATGTGACTGATTCCCTCACTTCATTCATGTGTCTACTCCAATGTCTCCTCCTTTAGGGAGCCCTTCCCTAACCACCCTGTCTCAGGAAAACCCTTTCATCACTCTCTACTCTCAGCTTAGCTTTTTCTTCATGATATTTATTATCACCTGTTTGTTTCATTTATTTGTCTGTCTCCTCACTAAAATGTAAGCTTCCTAAGTACAGGGACTAGTTTTGTGTATCATCCTCTACCTTATACCTGGAATAGTTCATGGCACATAGCAGACAATATTTGTTAAGTGAATGCTGTGGAAGGAGAGCTTTACATGTGGAAATTGTCAGCTAATCAAACAAAACAGCCACATGGAGACTGCTGAAAAGAGAAACAATGTTCTATGTGCTAAGAAGGATTGAAATAGAAAATTAGGCTCCATGTCCACAATGAGACCAAGAGTTTCCTTTCCCTCAGGACCAACAACAAAAGGGAGGTGCCCTGTCGCTTTGGGACAATTTGGGCCACACCAAAACCAAATCAAAAAGGTAGAGAAGAAATTCTAAGGAATATAAAGAATGTGTACCCCCCTGGAGAAGACAGTTGCCACTAGATCCCCAAAAACCATAAACAGAAGTTGTTAAGTGAAAATAAACTGTAAATACTTGAGACATTTTTTTCTCTAGGAGACTCAGATTACAGCTCAGGACACCATCAAGAAAATAAAAACAAAACTCACAGAATGGGAGAAAATATGTACAAACAATATCCGATAAGGGATAAACATTCAGAATATATGAAGAACTACAACTCAATAACAGAAAGTCCAATTTGGAAATGGACAATGATTTTCATAGACATTTCTCCAAAGATATACAAATGGCCAGTAAGAACAAGAACAATGCTCAACATCACTAGTCTTTGGGGAAATGCAAATCAAAACCACTGGGGGATACTAGTTTATACCTCTCACGATGGCTATGATTAAAAATGGAAAATGACAAATGTACCTGGAACGCTGATGCATTGGTAACAATGGAAAATAGTACACCTATTGTGCTAAACAATATGAGGATTCCTCAAAAAGTTATATGACACAGCAATTGCAATTGCAACTCAGCAATTACCCCAAATAATTGGAAGTAGGGTCTCAAATAGGTATTTATATACCAATGTTTACTGCAGCATGTTCACAAAGCCAAAAGGTGGAAACAATCACCAAATGAATGAATAAATAAAACGTGGTATATACATAAAATGGAATATTATTCAGTCCTAAAGATTAATATAATACTGATATGTGCTACAAAAAAAAAAAAAAAAACAAAGACAAAAAAAGAAAAGCAACAAGACACTCCAAATAATCTATACTTTAGTAAAGGAAATGGCAAAAATACATACTACAGAAGAAGTCAATATAATAAGATACCCAATAAAAAGATAAATCAGAGAACTGAGAGATGATGTGTGAACCTCAGAACGCTGGAATTATTTCAGTTTAACTCAATTCATACCATTTACTGAACACCCAATCTAACTCTACTATAGAAGAACCTCATGTGAAAAATACACAAGGAGGAACAGAAAGGAGCAAGTAACATTAGGGCAGTCAATGGTAACGCCATGGCTTTGTGGCCACTTAACCAGCTAATATCACATGAGAGGTGATGTCCAAGATTATGAGCCTAGAACCAGTCTGCCTAAATTTGAATGCTAGTTCTATCCCTTCCTAGCTACGTTGTAACCTTGGACAAATTCCTTTTTGTATCTTCTATATAAGAAAAGCATCTCCTCTATTAGTGAGTATAAAGATTAAGCTACATAAAACACAGTAGAGTTCAGGACACAGTAGATGCTCAATAAAAGAAGATGGATGTTCAATACATACTGGTGGTTAACTATGAACACTATATATATTTTTTAAATTTATGTATCCATACCTTGTTTCTCCTCAAGAAACACTGAAGGCAATTTATACCAAATTAAGTGCATGTGTGTGTACACATATATACACATTTTTTTAAAACAGCAGCAGAATCTAAAAGTCATTAAAAGGAGAAGGAGGGATCCCTGGGTGGCGCAGCGGTTTGGCTCCTGCCTTTGGCCCAGGGCGCGATCCTGGAGACCCGGGATCGAATCCCACGTCGGGCTCCCGGTGCATGGAGCCTGCTTCTCCCTCTGCCTGTGTCTCTGCCTCTCTCTCTCTCTCTCTCTCTCTCTCTCTGTGACTATCATAAATAAATAAAAAATTAAAAAAAAATAAAGTTCCCTATAAAAAAAATAAAAAATAAAAAAAATAAAAATAAAAGGAGAAGGAAGTAAATGTGTCTATCACTAAAACTGATCAAAGAACTTCCGTGCAACCAAGGCAAAATGTAAGACACTTGCATTGTATAATTCTTATTTGGTAAAGGCAACATAACAATTCCTCAGAGAGAGAGAGACTGTCCTCTGATAGTGAATTCTAAAATAAGCATACCACATAAGACCTCATACAAAACCTACTTGGGATCACCAAATCAGTGACTTCAGCAATAGTATTATGGTAAATAAAAAACACCTTCTTCATACAGTTATTTCTTGTAGTCATTATCAATAAAAGCTAAGGACTTAACATGAAAGGTGATTCTGTAAAGACAATCTACTGGGCCCTAAACTAATATGAATAAAGCTGCTATGAATATTCATATACAAGTCCAAAAGCTTGTAGCCATTCTGTGCTTGTTACTATAATTACATAACTTTATGAAACAATATAGAAACTGATGAAATATGAGTTAAAAGACGGTTGCTATTATTGTGAAAACTAAGGTGAAAATAACCAATACTTGTTGAAGATGAGCAGCCAAGACACATTGCTATTAATTATAAGCAAGATAATGGTTAAGGTTTATAGAAGAAATTCACAAAGATCTAAAAAGGCTTTGTGGTTTGTTTTTTTTTTTTAAGATTTTATTTATTCGAGATAGAAAGGGATCAAGAGAGGACATGAGCAGGGGCAGAGGGAGAGGAAGAAACAGACTCCCTTGCAGAGCAGGGAGCCCAAGGCTGGGCTCAATCCCAGGACCTCCGTATCATGACGTGGGCTGGGAAGGCACATGTTTAATGGAGTGAGCCACCTAGAAGCCCCTAAAAAGGCTTTGTACTCAGATTGTTTCACAGGTGTATTCAAGATGTTCCACTTTAAAAAACCAAAACAGGAACTCCTAGATAATATGTTATATGTATGGTATGTATATGTAACAAAATGAGAGGCATATTATCACTTCTCTTGGGTAAAAACCTAGAGTGTAATGGCTCGGTCATCTGAACCATTTTGTTTATCCATTCACTTGTCAATGGAAATTTGGGTTGTTTCCAGTTTGGTGCTAGCATGGATATGGTGCCATGCACATATACAAATCTTTTTGTGGACATATATTTTCATTTCTTGTGGGTGAATATCCAAGAGTACAATACTTTTTTTTGGAGACACTGTACATATATAAAACTTTCTGGTGTGAAAAAGCCATCATATAACTCCATTCGTGGAACCAGCTAAAGGATGAAGGGGAAGTCAGGGCAAAGGAGAAAGCTAATCAATGAAACAGAAAACCAAGAATGTGGCCAGAAAGACAAATCAGAAAAGAACAAATCCACAGACGATGCACAGAAGTGTGTAAGGAATCTGGGATGTTGAGGGCAAAAGCATGCGGAATTTCGGGGCTAAAAATGGATAGATCTTCACTAGAAGATAACCCCATGAAACAAATGAGGAACTGGCCAGGACCACTGTCTTATCCGCTGCTCCCAGGCGATCTCCGCCTTAAAGCACAGATTCCCACCGTTTTTTCCTCTTCCTACATCGCTAATGCCCGAGAGACTACACATCCCAGAATGCAACACGCGCCCTTAGCGGAAGAGCTCTACTATCTGGGAGCGGTTCACAGCCTACAATTCCCAGGAGGTAATGCGATCTCCTTCCCACTGCTAGGGAAGACTTGGGCCCGGGGTACCCGGCCGGAATGTCCACTCCCAGCTCACCTCAGAGCTCCGGGAGCCTTTCAGCACCTGCTTGGTGAGCGCGATCACATCCGTCCCACAGGTGTTCACCTTCTCTGTGAGGAGCCCCTTCACGGATTGACCGAATCGCGCTTGCGAATCTGGTGTCCCAGTCGCCATCACCTCAACTAGTGAACGCCTCAGCCTGGACAACGGCGAGTCGCTGGGGCCAAAAGGCATCAAAGCGGAAGGAAGCGAGGTGGTGTCTCTTCCACCGTGGGAAAAGGAAGGGACGCATGCGCCCAGCGGAGGTTGACTTTACCTAACTTTAAATTAAAATATTCACTTGGTATCCTGAGGAAGATGGGGGCCCCAGGCGGACATCTCTGGAGGGAACGGAAGACAATTTCAGTAAATCTATGGGTTAGAATCAGAAGGGCTGGAATACAGCCCTACTTCTGCATTTAGTCATGTGACTGCAAATTACTCAAGCTCTGAGTCTTGTGTTCATCAGTAAGAAAACAATGTTCAAGTCTCCAAAGGGTTATGAGCATGAATTAAAGTAATTCAGTTCAATTTTAATAAAATTTCATGAGGCAAATATCAAACTGTGCTAGACTGAGGGTAGAGAAAGAGAAGAGATACAGTGCTTTGTCTCTAGGAGCTCCCAGGCCATGTAATGAGCCACGTAAACAGCTCATAAATGGAGGCAGTGCTCAACATCACTAGTAATTTTTTATGATAAATGATCGCTCTGTTCTATTAAAAGCAAACTGTCACTTTGGAAATGAATTAATATCTGAAATGTTTCATGCAGCTCTATTTCTTTTTTAGCTAACACATAAGAGATGAGAATGGTGTCATGTTGCAAATTTTGTTCAAAATCACCTGTATTCAGTGATGAAGTTTTGGAATTATAGGTGAGGTTTGGTGGGGTGAGGTCCGGAGCTGATGACCAAGAAAGAATTCTTGAGACGTCTTTGGTGCAAAATGGTGGTTTTATTAAAGAACAGGGACCGGACCCGTGGGCAGGAGGAGCTGCTGCCCTGAAGCCTGTAAGGGGTTGCTGATTATATACCTGGGAGTTGGGAGGGGTTTGAGGATAGTGTACTCTCTAAGGAATTTTGGAAGCAAGGTTTCCAGGACCTTGAGGGGGCTAGCTATTGTTAGGAAAATGTCACTTATTACCGTCTAATAAAACCTGAGTCATGAGATTCTTCAGATGTGTATTGGTGGGCCCTGTGCTTGGAGGATGATTGCCAACACATATCTTGGGGGTTTAGAGATAAAGGGAAATTTCTAAAGGAATTTTTATGTTAAAGTAGGCTAATAGGATCCTGCAGGTCGAGCTAAGATTGCCTTGCCCTTAGCAAAGTATTAACATGGAGGCAGTTGAGTCTGTAGAGGAATGTCACTCTCCCTGTTTCAAGGACTTGTCAATGTACTTTGTCCTCAGCCAGTCCTCTGTTCCCTCATCATTCAGTATCATTACTTTCTCCTCCAAGTGTCTAGATTCATGTCTCTGTTGATTCTTTCATGTATCAGTTTTATTAAGGTACGATTTATGTGCAATAACTATGTTCTTTCAAAGTGTACAGTTTGATTAGTGGGACAGATGTACACATCTGTGAACCACCACAATTAAGATATAGAACATTTTTATCACCCCCAGAGGTATCCAGATGTCTCTTTGCGGTCCATCTGTCCCTCACTCTAGGCAACAACTGATCTGCTTTCTAGCACTATAAACTAATTTGCATTTCTAGAATGCTATGTAATTGGAATAATATAGGAAGTATGGGGATCCCTGGGTGGCTCAGCGGTTTAGCGCTTGCCTTTGGCCCAGGGCACGATCCTGGAGTCCCAGGATCGAGTCCCACGTCGGGCTCCCGGCATGGAGCCTGCTTCTCCCTCCTCCTGTGTCTCTGCCTCTCTCTCTGTCTCTCTCTCTCTCTCTCTATCATGAATAAATAAATAAATAAATCTTTTAAAAATATATAGGAAGTATTATCTTTGTCTAGCTTCTTTCAGCATGATTTTGAGAGTTATCCACACTGTAGTGTGTATCACTAGTCTATTCCTTTTTATTGCTCAGTAATACTCCATCGTTTGAATATGTCTCATTTTGTTTATCCATTCACATGGAAATGGATATTTGGGTTGTTTCCATCTGGGGGCTGTTATAAATAAAGCTGCTGTGGCATTCAGATACAAGTCCCTCTGTGGGTTGTTTTCGTTTATCTTGGATAATATCTAGGAGTAGAATGGCTGGGTCATATAAGTGTTTAACTTTTCAAGGCACTGCCAGGGCATCTGGGTAGCTCAGTGGGTTGGGCCTCTGACTCTTGGTTTCCAGTCAGGTAGTGATCTTGGAATCTTGGGATTAAGCCCTGTGTTAGGCTCTGAGCTCAGCTGGAGATTCTCTCCCTCTCCCTCTGCCCCTCTCTCTGCTCTCTTTCTCAATAAATAAATAAATATATATTTAAAAAAAAAAACTGCCAGGGTGCCTGGGTGGCTCAGTTGAGTGTCTCTTTTCAGCTCAGGTCATGATCCCAGGGTCCCATGGGATCAAGCCCCATGTTGGGCTCCCTGCACTGCGAGAAGTCTGCTTCTTCCTGTCTCTTCCTCTCCCTCTGCTCATACTCACTCTCTCTCAAATAAATAAATGAAATCTTAAAAAAAAAGCAATCTAAAAAAAAATTTAAAAAAGCAATCTGCCAAACCATTTCCCAAAGTTTTTAGCATTTTATGTTCCCAGTACCAGCGTGGGAGACTCCAGTTGCTCCACAACCACAAATTTAGGAAAAGATTGATATGTAGCCATGGTAACATACCATGTTACATACCTGTGGTAGACAGACTGGCCACTGACAGGTAGCTTCCATGATCCCCATCCCATGGTGTTCATGTGCTTGTGTGATCCCCTTCTTATACATGTGGGCAGGACCTGTGACTTGTTTCTAACCAATAGAATATGCACAAGGAATGAGAGATACATGATTGTGTATACATGATTATGTAATTGCAAATACTGTTAGAACCATCTTGCTGAGGCAGCCCGGGTGGCTCAGCGGTTTAGCGCCGCCTTCAGCCCCGGACCTGATCCTGGAGACCCAGGATCAAGTCCCATGTCAGGCTCCCTGCATGGAGCCTGCTTCTCCCTCTGCCTGTGTCTTTGCCTCTCTCCCTCTCTCTGTTTCTCATGAATAAATAAATAAAATATTAAAAAAAAAGAATCATCTTGCTGAAGTCTCTTTCCCCCTTGCTGGCTGTGAGGAAGCAAGTGACCATGTTGGAGAACTCCACGTGACAAGGAACTGCATCTAGTCACTGAGAAATGAGCCTCCAGCTGACAGCCAGCAAAAAAATGAAACACTCAAGCAAACAACCTAAAGGAACTGAATGCTACCAACAACCAGGCAAATGGGGAAATAGATCCTTACCCAGTCGTGAGCCTCCAGATGAGAACCCAGCGCTGGTTCACACCTTGATTGCAACCTTGTGAGACACTAAGTAGATGACCCACAAAAGTTGTACTTGGATTCCTGACTCACAGGGATTACAAGATAATAAGTGTGTGTTGTTTTAAGCCACTGTTTGTGGTAATATTGCTGTACAGAATAGAAAACTAATACCCCCCAGAACGTGCTTGAAATCTGTTCAATCAGTTAATGACAACTCACCTCAGTGAAAGCCTTCTGCAGATTAAGCAATCGGGATCATTTCTGAAAGTCAGTCATCCATAAACCAATTCATGCCAATAATCACCCCTCAGGGTGCCAATCAATGGACAGTAGTTTTACCCAAGTAACACTTCTTTTTTTTAATTTTTTAAAAGATTTTATTTTTATTATTTATTCATGAGAGACAGAGGGAGAGAGAGAGGCAGAGACACAGGCAGAGGGAGAAACAGGCTCCATGCAGGAAGCCAGACATGGGCCTCGATCCCGGGACCCCAGGATCACACCCTGGACTGAAGGTGGCGCTAAACCGCTGAACCACCCGGGCTGCCCCCCAACTAACACTTCTATAGATAATATCAACTTTCTAATGTCCATCGATCCCTGAAGTCCATGCTTCCCCAAAACTCTATTAGGATCAACAGTCTACTCTGCTTAGAGAGACTGACTGATCTCCTTTATAATAATAAGGAAATTCAGTTTTGTCTATTTCATATATTGAGCTATAGTCTAATCATCTTTTGACAGTTCTAGAGGCTCTACCAAGATCATTTTGAAGACCCTCATATGGCAGCATTCCAGGGACCCTCAGATCAACAAGGTGAACTTCCCTGGATCTTTGAATCTAGTGGTTAGACCTTGGGTCCATCTGGAGATGTACCATTTAGTTAGGAAATCTAGGTCTTTGTATAAGGTTGTTAGACCTTTTGTTTGGTGGTATATTGTTTGATAAATATTTTTACCATGAATATGATCATTCTGTTGCATGCTTTGCTTTTGCTGTTGTTGTTTATCTCTGTGTACAAAGCTATGTCACAAGGGATTTTGCTTTTGCCAGGATTATCTTGTTTCTTTTGAATGTATAAAGGGAGTATTCCACAGAGTATGGATGGAATCACAGGCACAGTAGTCTCAAACCCAATCTAAGCTGGCCTTTGAGGGTTAATTGTTGAGGTCTATTAGACTGGATACTGGCTGGTATTATCACATCCCTTTTGCTAACTGAAACCACCCAATCTTTTTCCACTAACTGATTAACTAATTATGAATTATCATTACTTTCTGTCTCTCATATTATTAAGTAGTAGTATAACTTTCTTAATCCAGAATCTCTATAATCTTTACCCAGTGAAGGATAATCCTAGATTGTGTTTCTATAATTCAAGAAGTGTCCATGGCCAGAAAAGAACATTTGGACATGCTAATACTCAATATTGATCCACTGTTATTGATTGACCTCTTGGTAAATGTAAGAAGTGACAGCATCAGGTTTGATATAGGTAGTCTAGTCACTCTTGTAAAATCCAATTCCTTACTAGAAGTCAAATTGTCTAAATAGCTAAACTATGGCTCTTTCTAGGATATATCAAATTACTCAAATAAAAGGATAGATATGTAACATAATAGCTGGCATGCCTTTAAAAGAATTAACTTCTTTAAAATTATATTTTAAAAGTTTAAAAAAAACTTCCTCAAAAACTTTTAAAAAATAAATGTCAAATGTGACTTACTTGATGCCTTGATAATACCTACAATAATTGCTGATCCTAAAGGTAGAAAGTCACAGTTTATACTATAGAAGCTATAATCCTGCAGACATACTTTAAAGATAATCATGGTAAACAGGCTGCTGTGATTAAAAGTTTGCATACAAGAACCTCATATAAGATGATAAAAATAATGACAAATTCACGGAGAAGTTAAAGGATTCAATTGTAAGTATATAAAATCTAGGGGCACCTGAGTGACCCAGTCAGTTAAGCATCCAACTCTTGATTTCTACTCAGGTCATGATCTCAGGCTCGTAGGATCAAGCTCTGTTTCAGGCTCCGTGCTGAGCGTGAAGCCTCCTACAGATTCTCTCTCTCTCTCTCTCTCTCTCTCTCTGCTCCACCCACCCAGCTCACATGCATGGTCTCACTCTCTCCTTAAAAAAAAAATTAAAAATAAATAAATAAGTACACAAAATCTGGCCCATGAAATTCTGAAAAGAAACATGAGGAATGATTGAGTTTAAGACCTACCAAGTTAAGATCTTCCAAAACCAGCATCATCACCTGACAGTACCAGATAAAACCCCAAGTGAACACTAGACTAAAT